CTAAACTGACCAGAAAGGCTGGGCTTCCTACGAGTAGTATTTTATTTGCGTATACTACGGTACCTGGTACCCCATATAAAGTAAGATTATGTCCTCTTTTTGGGGTCTAGTATGGTAGATGAGGATTTATCTTATTTGGTTCAACCACCAAAAACAGCCGTTCACATGCTCAGAGTTCCAGGCATTGAACTTCAGGCTCAGGATCCCTGAGGCGCCTTGATGGTTCAGTGTCCAGGCTCTCTGTGAGAAGCCATGGCTGAACCCGCCACATCTGCGTTCTCCTTGGCGGACGTGATGAGGACCTGCAAGCACTTGACAGATGTAGAATGTGTAGATGTCCAACAGAGTGTTTCCAAGGGTCTCTGTCAGAACGAGTTTACCTAGTCGATCTGCACCGTTTTGGGGTTCCGTATTTTCTTGCTTTGCTTGTCATGGCCTTTGGGCATGTTCCACTGATAGTTTTCATAATGAAGCGACCTAAGCATTTTCTGTTGGCATTGTGTTACTTTGACCCACAAGCTCGAGAACTCCGTCGGTCTCCTGAACTCCCACAGTTCCAACCAATGCCCCCAGACCAAACCCAAAGGATGGACCACATCATTAGGGGAGTTTCTGGGAACAGTTTATATAGGGGTATAATATTGGGGTTATAATGAAAAAGGGGGTTCCCTAAAATTAGGGGTTCCTTTTTGGGGGTCCCCATAATAAGGGTTATAGTATATTGGGGACTATATTGGGGTCCCCTTGTTTTGGGAAACTACCAAATAATCCCTGCCTGTAACCCTTGTCAATTTTACATGCGCTCTATGTCCTTCCCGCAGATATGGCATCAGCATTTAGAGTTTGACCTCGTTGGCCGCGAATCCTTACAACCATTGCAGAAACCTTACATAATGATCTGATGAAGCTATGTGTAACACACATTTTCCCTAAACGAGAATGGAAGCTACCATATTATCATAGGGTATATGTAGGAGTCAGAAGGTTTATAAAGGGTCATTACACCAAAGATTGAAAATCAATTGAAAAGGAACCTGAAATCCAAGCTATTGACTATGCGGTTCCATAGGGGTTGTACAGAGATGTTGCCCCAATACATAGGGAGGGATCATGGAAAAGAAAATGGTGACCAACATATACTAGAATCCAATCGTTTCCCAGGTACGAGGTACTTGGAGTCATGCGGGAGTTTAGGGTGAGTATTCGTAGTTAGCATGAGGGTCCTGGTGTTGGAAGTAGTAGGAGTGCTCATCCCACCTCGAGACAACAGCGAAGGCCCGTCAAATCTCTTCAGTCCTTGTCCTCCACGGGCTCCCGCAGCGTACCGCCGAATGCCCCAGCAGTGGCGCCGCAGCTCCTGGCCTGAAACAGAGCCTGTGTGCATGACACCTTGCAAGGAAGGCCATGTCAGTTCTTGGAAGTACAGTAGCTCGCTATTCTTTGAACCATGCAGGCAGGCAAAGGAGATTTCTATTGTACCGGATGACAGCAGCTACCATGTGCTTTGAGGTATTCGTTGGCGGCCATGAGATCTATGGAGGTTGATCCGGAGCTTCTCCAAGGAGGGCACGCGCTGCCGAAAGCGGGGTTCCACGTCTTGCGCTTGAGGGTCAGCAAGCCTACTGAAAAAGATGGCATGCATTTAGGCAGCGCCCTGTGATTGCCGTTTTTTGCGCTTGAAAGCAATTTGCTTGCAATGAGATGGTCTCAGGCGCACCTAAATGTCTCGGATTGCTATTTGTCATCTTGTTACAGATGAAAATGGTTTTGACCTTTGCGCTGCATAGCACCTCATGCAGTTCCAGGTGAGCCCAACCTCAAGCGCCAACATGCGTCTGGAATCTGGGGATAGCCCGGGTTCTTTGAGCATATCGTCTTCTCGTCTGTTGCTGTTTCTTCTTCTACATCGACAACTGCTGCTGCTGCTGCCGTTTCCGGTGGTTGCGGACTATCCCACAAGCGCGGTAATCCCTTGATACTGTCACTCTCCTGTGGGTGCCTCGTGGTAGCATCAGGCAGAAGCCAATGCCAATCGCGTTGGCTGGGGCAGTCTTTGCCAAGTTAGCCTATTCGGCTGACATGGCTAGCTTAGGTCCCTCCCACCAAGTAGTTGTTTGTGGATGCTCGTTAGGACATGTTGCCTGTAGAACATATCATGCACTGTCCCCGGTCCCTATTACTACACTACAGCTGAGAATCTCGGATGACACATCTTCGACGCCCTCAGGAGCATCTATGTCTCAATGCCTGGCTGGCTGGGGCGTGCGCTGGGCATCACCGTCACAAAGCCTCCATGAGCTGCAAGGACACATGGTAGCTTCCAGGAACAGCATTCTCTCAGGAATGGTTACTGATATTGGCTCAGCATATTTGAGGTGTGCTGATGGGGCCCTGCATGTTGAAGCTACGGTGTAGGCCCCTGACTCAGGTGGCCCTTCAGAGGATTGATAAGTTGAATGCCTCGAATGTCAATGACAAGTGATACGTGTAACTAGAAAGGGACCCGCTGGACAGTGACCGAAGTGCTTGTCAAGCGTCCTGACCTTGTCCGTCCCATCAGACGTTCTGCCCATGAGCAGTGAGCCAGGATGCCACGGCACTCTCTGCAGGACTGGGTGAAGCCTTGCGCTGTCGATCATCCTTTTGTTGCCGCCCCACACGGCTGTTAGTTGGAGAGCCCTGATAGATCATCGTAGCACCAGACTGTAGAATTGCTTGGTGCGTGTCGCCCACAATTCCTGCATTGTGGCTGTGGTACCTGCAGGCAAGCTGCGCTCAGCAAGCCAACGGCAACCCGGTTTATTCACTCCGCACGAGGTTTTGATGTGTTAGGCCTCCCCACATCCCTGCTCTCTGCTTGCCCGTTCCTTCTGCAGGAAGTGGGCACATCCCTACTGTAGCTGTTGAACGGGTGGGATTTTCTTTTTGTACTTTAAAGGAATTGGTGCATGCTGCACGCTTTCCTGAAGCTCAGCCCTCAATGATGGGGATAGCACAAGTCCAAATTGGCACCTGACTGGCTGGAGATTGATGCTTCGTTGCATGGGGTATCCCAGCAACTAGCATCAATTTGTGGGCTTGTAGTTCTGCAATTATTTGCAATGGCTCTCAAGGTGTTGCTGCTGAGACCCATTGCGTTACTACTGTCTACGTCCTAGATCATATAGTGTTAATATAGTGTCTATCTTTTACTTAGCTGAGGAGGACTTGAGAGATTCACGCGGCCAATTTCTGACACCAAGCCAAGGACTATTACGATGTGTTTCTCAGCCATGACTGGGGAACGAGCCGATGGATGAAGTTCCTGAATACCGTCTGAAGTTTGGCTCTTCAGGGCTCTTGGTGGGCAGATGTAGTGCCTTGAGGAGCGGGGCTGGAAGAAGAAATGTATCTAGCCTAGACATGTTCTGCGCTCTCTACTTGTCATCCTCGAATCGAGAACGAGCCATCTGCCGAAGCGAATTTTGTCTGTGAAGCTTTTAATTCCAGGGCCTACGCTACGCCAGGGCTTGGGCCGATCGACTCGATCGATGTCGTCAGGTCCATTAGAAATCCATAGATCGACACCGCCGATTCAGCAGCAAAGCATGTGCCGGTGTGATGGAAATTGTCTGTTCTTCGGCGTGTGGCAGAGGCTGCTGTTTAGAGTGCCGTGCCTAGGGAGATAGTGGCCCTTGAGTCAAATCCACGGCCATGAAAGTCGAACTGGCAATGTACAGGGCGGGGCAGGAATTCTATGGGCCCTAGAACATCTTAACAAGCTCTACGCTGAAATGTGCAATGTTTGGGACAAGGTCTCTCCTCATCTGCTTTAATGGGAAGGCCGCCGCTGTTGCAACAGTGCCGCGTTCCACAGTTGGGTTCAGCCGGCCTTGAGAGAATGATTCAGGACTGGATGGCACTTAAGTGATTTTGCAAAGATTCTCCTATGGGGATTGCTTGGGGTGGATGGAGGTGTCCTCTCAACCTCAGGTAGTATTGCGGCTTTCGCGCGCAGTGTTCAGGTGTTCTGGCTGTTTGTGAATGGGACGTCATAGCTGCCATAGCTCCATTGCCGACCAAATTCTGCGCACAACGATGGCATGGTAACCGCAATCTTGCAAAGTCCCCAAGACCAACTTCGTTTAAAGGCATGCCCGCCTGGCAAAGTTGCCAAGCTGACGGCCAAGTGGGGATGGCTCCGAGCGCGTAGACGATATGAACCGACTCGCAATTCTGCAGAGTTTGCGGATTCTCACGGCTCTACTCCCTCTTTTGAAGATGCATACACGTACCACCATACGTAATCTTTCCTCGGTGGATTGGCATGCAAGGATACATTAAAGCAATAGTTGCCAGAACCAAGCTGACATCATGAGTGCCCCCATCCTGTATACAGACCAAAATAGGAGTTGCTGCGCACAGGTATCTTCCATGTGCGCCGATCCCTGTCGTAAGAACTTCTGGGGCTGCCCTTGTTGAAATCACGCCCATCCCGATAAAATCAAGATCTCAGGTGCTGGTGGGGATGCTTTCCGGCCCCTTGACTCTGGATGGAAACAGAGAGGGGGTGCCCATGCAGAGCTTCGAGGGTACACCGCCAGGTACACTTTATGGGGCTTCTTTCTTGTTGGAAGGTGGAATAGATGGATACAGTATGAAGTGGGTATACGTGGGTATACTATGACTCAATGACTTTCTGTGATGTAGAGCAGGTCGATAATGGAATACAACGGGGATTCCATTCATATGACCGTGACTCTATGGTTGCCACGAGATCTACGCCTTCATTGCTCAACCTGGACACGCTTATCAGATTCTGCTGACTGATATGGCGAGCCTTTTTAACTTAACTTGCCGTAGCTTCAACAAAATCCAAAGGCTTCTGCGTTGCCCAAGACCTGCATGCCTGGTAGGAAGAGAAGTAGAACAATTGCCGCTGTTATCATTGAGGGGCGGAGAGCCTTGCATGAGGTGCTCTGCGAGGCGCCGAAATTGTCCCGAACAACGCCTGGCCAGCTATGATCGGCCATCTTACCTTTATTATCTTCATCTGCTTCTGGCAACGGATACGCGAGGTATTCAAGACGCCTCACATTGTATTTCTGGACAAGCTCTGTATTAGCCAAGAGGATCAGATTTTGAAGGAGAAGGGTATCCTGGGCTTAGCTGCCTTCCTCTCCAGAGCGGAGACGCTTCTGGTCCTCTGGTCCCCGCGATACTTTCGCCGGCTATGGTGCACGAAACTTGATCTGCATCCCGGAAAGTTTCTCTATGCATCTTCTGTTGGCTCTTGACTTTGGAGAGACCGGCTTGGAACCCCGTGAGCAGGCTCTTCATGGCAGGACAAAGAGTAGCAGACCATCTCAAGACGCATCAAGAACCTGGCTGGTGGTAGGTTGTGTCGCACCAGCACATGCAGCATTCCATGTTCCCAGACCTTATCACATTTGAAATGACTTCGTGATACCTTCCAACTTGTCGCCTAGTTTTCAAGAGGCACTTCAGCAGTATGGCAAGTGATATTGGGATGGCGGGATTCCTGAATTGCCCGCAGTCCAAGGTACGAGCTTGCTACCTTCCTGAACTTGGCTTCCAAGTCGACTAGACCTCGAAAGATCCAGGTTTGGCTTGCAGCTCATTCTCAAAAGCGTTTTGCAATGCCTGCTGTCTCAAGTATGCATGCGCTGGAAGTGTCAGGTGACGCAGAGAGTAGACCGCATGAGGTTTGCCTCCAATTGCGATACCACAGCTGTTGCATTCTAGCTGCTCCATGTGCTGAAGTGACGCAAGGTGGAATTTTTGCGAGGGATCCCCAACATCAGGGACCCATCATTATGCTCACTTCCGTTCTGTTCATCTCCTTCTTGATTTCACAACAACGTGCTGTTTGTGTTTTCTGTGGTCGCAAAGCAGGCACCGTCTTTCCCCCGTACGAGGGGTCCCCTACACGGCCCGTTGAAGGTTCAGGGTTTCGGACTCACCGTGAGCAGTGCAGGTGATGCCTGTGGACATGTCGCGGCTGCTGCTACTAATGTGGGTTTCGTGGTTCCCTGGCAGCAGTACTGGGAGATCATGATAGCAGCGAGAAAGGCATAGTCATGCTGCTGGTCAGACGACGATTGCGTAATGATGTTTGTACCGGCAATTCCGATCTTGAAGGTCCTGTTAGGTGTTTCTCTGCGCTGCCTCAGGCAGGTCACCAGCAACTGCAAATTTCAAGATTTGCCAGCGCTGCAAACCTGAACCCTTCACCTTCATTCTTGAATCCCGAACCTTCCGAACCTTCGGAACCTTCGCCTGAGTTGCAAATGCAAAGCCTGGGCCTGAATCCAAAGACCTAACCCCGGACCTAACCCATTGAGGCAGGCTTTGATGGTCAGCTGGGAAATAGCCATCATATCGGCCGGAGGGGACGAGTACTACGACGCACTGCAGCAGACATCTCACGAAGGGCTCACAAAAGGAGCAGGGGCTCGGGATGCTTGAGGGCTGTGGACTTCAGGGATTAGCGCAAACGGATCAGGCTGGGGTGTTCAGAGTTCTCGGGCTTCGCAGGGATCTCGGAAATTTTCCTTCAAAGGCTGGGAGATTCCATGTTGAAGATGCAAAGTTTTGGCGGGACTGATTTCGTGCATGATGCTAAGCGTGTCATGATAAGGTTCTCACTCTAAATTTGGCCCCGGTCCCTTGCTCCCCTGGTCGCCTGCTCACGTGGCTAAGAAGCCAAAAGCTTTGCAAGTAGGCGCGGCTGCACCTCAGTATTCGTCGCTCTGTATGGCAGTAGTGCCAGTGAGTTTGTTACCTACTTGACGGCAGCAGCAACAACAATCGATTATGTTTTTTCATTTTGACTGTTCTGACAATTTTAATGTCAATTTGATTGGGGATGCAGGGTGCAACCTCACACCCTAGAGCCTGGCTCTGCCCTTTTCCCACCCCTGCTGTTCATTTTCGTTATCATTCTGGAACCCTCTTGTCGCGCCTGTGTTGGCTTTCTGTATATTTGTATGTGGACTGCTCATGCAAGCAATAGCTCTAAACCTATCTCCGGCGTGTGTTTACATTCGAATCAGTAGGACCAGGGTTGCGTGGCTCAGTTCGGCTTGCATTCTATAGTAGAAGGAGGGTTGCAGGGTTCGCCTCCAGCAAGCGGTTCAATGAGAACACGCTAGTTTGGGATAAGGCTTGAAATCTGAGCATTAATTTGGCCGCCCAAAGCATTCTGATGATTGAAGCTCATGCCAGCTGCTGGACGGCTTTTCCCCTTTGCAGCAATGATTTCCAGAACACTTCGGACAAGCGGCTTGTTAATTGTGAATCCACATTTTTTTCTGGACATGGCTGGATCTCTTACGCCTGAAGCTCAAGATCTTGAGGCCAACGGGCAGGCTTAGCAAACCCATCCTTCCCAAAATGCAAAAGTCTCTTCGCCTGGCTACCGATCTGGCCGTTTTTCTGGACAACGAATCTTCGCACACAGTTTTTAGCAGTTTTTAGTTTGGCAAAATGACGCCCCCATACTCATCGGCATGCAGCGTTATTATTCCTTTGCCATGATTGTGGTGCCAAGACACCCCAGGGGTATGAGTCCAGGCGGAAGCCGTTGGCTTGCGTACTTGAATTTGAGCGGGAGCACCCAATGAATTGATTGGGGATATTCCACTTCATGCAGGGCTTCTCTGTCATGTAGTTCATGCCGTGCTAGAGGGAAGTAGAGGTCTTACATAATGGCTTGACGAGTGGCCATCGTCTTAGGATGGAGGACCCCTCGCAATTCAGGACAGTTGTAGGTAGCATCCCAACAGAAGGGCTCGTTGGTCAGCCCTATTTGAATCTCAGGCACCAGCAGACTGCCCCTTTGGGTTCGTGAAACGTAAAGATCCGAAAGCAACCACCTCGGAAAAATGAGGATCCTCCTTTTGTTAGCTCTCCAAAGCCTTCCTGAGAGATCCACGGAGCTAGGCAAATGTCCTCTTGCTGGCCATACTTTCAGCAGACGCTTTGCTGATCAAATGCAGGGAGTCAGAATTACGGATCTTGTAGGTGGGTTCCCATGACATGAGGATCCGGCCGGTTTGTCGCTGCTCTTTTGTTTCTTGCTGAGTGCTGCTTTAGAGGAGCCTACCATGGATTGAACAATTAGACAGTCAGGTGTCAGACTTATTGCAGCACTTAGTGCCCCGATGCTTTCAAACTTTCAGGTTGCCCTTGTGCTCCTCCCGATGTACAACTATTACGGGCTGAAGCTGATGCGGGACCTGCAAGAGTTGCTGGGCCTCGTTCAACATTGCAGCTGATTCATGGATGAGACTGCTAAATGGTTTCCAGCGCCCCTATATGAGCTGGCAATCTGCTGCTGGAAGAAGGGTCGTCATGATCGATGAAGCACCAGTCACATGTGGGCACGTTCTTTGCTCAAGTGTGCAGAGTGTGTCGGGAATAGGATGTGGATCTCAGTCTCTTGGTTCGACTTACTTCAGTAACACTTAGTTCCACAGAGCTCTTTCTGTATGTTCCTAATATAGGTTGTATTTCACACCAGGAACTGACAAGTGACATGTCTTTCATGATGAGGCTTCCAAACCAGCTGGAGAGCCTTGGATGCCGTCAACTCGTGTTTACTTTACCAGCATACAGGAACTCAGATTATAACTACATATGTTTAGTGAAGGGCTAAGGGTTCATATCAGGGACTACCCAAAATTATGGCGTCCATGTAAGTTGTAGGTCCTCTTCCTTCGGGGCATTTTTGCTTTCAAATCACGAATCAACGCCTCAAATGAAGAGCTACGGTGAGCACGGCGCAGACATAGCAGGGCCCCAGTGCTAGTGGTGGTCTTGCTTCCTAGCAGAACAGTCTTAAGACCTGACCGCGCTCCTGGCCCTTATTCTCGAGGCAAAGGAGAAGTTTGAAATGTCAACCCTCACATGCGTCATTTCTTCTAGGTTGCACCATCCTAGTGAAGCGAGCCATCAGCCATTGCTCATCGCACTGCAACTAGAGGTGAATGGTTTTTGCGGCAGGAGCGGCTCTGGCTCATGGACAGGTTCTCTTGTCATGTCAAGCTCTGAAAGCGCCTACACGCAACTGTAAGCTAAGGAGCTTTCGGCTTCAAGAAGCTCAGTGCGCCTGCTGCTCAGAAAATCATCGGAACTCTGCAGGCGCGGTCCTCTCTTGGACTCCCTGACGTCCCTTTCGGAGATGATGTATATGGCGCATGGTTACGTGGTTCTTTGGTATCATGGTGTGATGGAATCAGGAAAGTTGCTAAGGGAGGAGCCGTCGCAGTCTAGAGTGGTTGAACAGTGGGGTTTGTTCTGGACCCATCTTGCTTTTCATGATAGACGCATCCTAGCGTTGCTGCACCTACTTGTCATGGCAAAGCCAGTGCGCAGCTTTCCTGATTATCTGCTTCTGAACCATTGGAAGCATGAAGAGGATATGATAAATTACGTAGACGTTTGCAGCATTGAGTCAAGCATGCATCAGAGGCACCTTTTGCTCTCAGCTTCAATCTCACGCACTCCGAAGGAGGAGGTCTCGATATTTATGCACGGCACATTGTCTTTCCCAACGGTTCAATATGGTAGCGGGATTGATACAGATGTAGTGTCATGTAGCTTTACACTTGACTTCAAGCCCAAAGTGTGCGGGTTTATTCTTGATATTCCTGACAGGGGAGCCGATCCCGTGCGACAGGGAGCTGGTCTTCGAGACTCTTCGGACGCGGGCCTTGTCATGTAACATGTAGAGACCGCCCAGTTCCAAGCACGCAGCTGAGTCGTGCGAGCCATCTTCTGATCTCTGTAGATGCGTGCCCATATTCTGCGCATGGAACAGAAATCTAAATCTGCAGTAGATTCACTGGAACCTTGGTGCGCCCACACAGCTTTCAAATAGGTCTTTCTCCAGAAGGTTCGGATAATTCCTCTACACTTTTGTGGTCCAGGAATTGGTACACTTCTGCTGAAGATCATCCACAGGAGGACAGGCTTAGCTGCGCATGTGGGACACAATGCCAACTTGACGGCTGACACAAGGAAAGCCTAGTAACGGCTTACCAGAATCAAGGCATTGGTCTCAAGGTTCGCGAAACAGCGGCATTTCTGCAAAAGTAATCTTCGCCTCAGCCTTCCATGGATAATGTTGCACTTACTAGCTGTGAAGGGTTGGCACAGGAGCACGTGGCAGGTCTTTGTCATTGCAGTTCGCACTTGGCAAGCATGCTTGCTATCAGTCAGGCTGAGAGTCTGCTTTACAACTGCATCTTCCAAACTGGCAGCAAAACCCTTACCCCAAATTGTAGTTTCCATTTTCTTTCCCATTATCCTTATACCATACCCCTACATAACCCTTATATAATCCCTATAGTCCCCTATAGTTTCCATGCTTCTTTCCATTATCCCTACATAACCCAATATAGCCCCTATACAATCAGGACATCGAGGAGCATCTGGAGGCCGTGGGCCTTGTCACAACTTTGATTGGGGTTCATCCACGGGGCTCAAGTGAAACCACTGTTATTGTATATTATGGTATGTTGTAGTATATTTATTATAGTATACTATCGTAGATCACAGTATATTACAGTATATTACTGCATTTTTTGGTATGTTCTGGTATATTTATAATGACACAGCAGCAGTGGCATTTGAGGTGCTTCACCCAGAAAGCAGGATTGTTCAAAAAGAGGCCTGTGAGTGCTTATCAGACTCCTCGCCTTAGCTCCTACAAAGGGGATGAAATTAATAAACGTGCGTTTCATGTCTCAAGTAACTATACAAGAACCATCCCGACTTGGGGCCATCTGCAACAGTGGCCCAATTTACTTCTTTACCAAAATTTAGCTGCGCATCCCAGTCAGGCAAGGTGTCGATCATCTTTGGTCACAAGCCGTATCATTCTTTGAGGCACAGGCAACTTGCTGGAAGCATTCTTGTAGGCTTCTTCTAGGCTTCCCCACCGCCCAATTGGGCCCCGCACCTAGCAATGCCTCAG